AGGGGGGAGAGAGAGAGAGAGAGATAGAGAGAGCTTCCCCTTCCAACCATGGATAATGACTGTAAAGTTCGTGTGCCAGAGGATACACATAATAATGTTGACTTCGCAGGAATCTTCTGCAACAGATCAAATGGATGTATTGCCGCAAAGACTGGGGGTAGAACTGTCAAAATCATGGCATCTTATATAGAAACTGGATAGCATTAGCAGCAAGCAGGACCTATCTCCATTGGGAAAATGGTCGCTTTAAAGCACAAGGGGGCTGTCCCGAAAAATGCTGTTTTGAGAAACTCGAAGGTAAAGTATTTGGACATTTTTTCAGCTTTTTAAAAGACAAGGAGAGTTTTCGCTATAACCAAGCAAATATACACCCAAAAAATGAAACCAAACTTCTCCTATCCGGGCAATGCCCACCTTTGGTGTAGGTCAAGATTTCTGGAAACCCCCGAAATCTGTGTTAGCCCGCTTGTCCTTAAAAGCGACCAAATATCAGCAATAATGAATGTTCGTTGGAAACCATTCGCAATACACTATCCAAGTTCTTGTCTGCAGCAGCCATCCCAGAGTTCATAGGTTACCATTGTCCTTATGTATGTCCTGGCACACGTATAGTGACTTCGCGATCCGCTCCGGGCATAAGAGAAACAATGCACTGTTGTAATGGAGTGACGTCACGATTGCCGCCTTTCGGTTACTGTAAACCCTCTTATCTGACCTCAGTTAATAACAAACACTTTACACATAGGAAAACTTGGTTCAAGTGGAACGATCGGAAAACCTCCTAACAAAACATAGACTTCTCTTTATTCATACTAAACCTAGATGATGGTTTGATTTCTGCCAAGAAAAAAAAATCGTCGGCGAGCTGTTTTATACTTACCCCAATATTTTGATTTGCAGTTTTTTAGTCTGTGGTATCGGTTGGCTGTGCATAAGAATTGTCTTATTGAGATTCCAATTCTGAAAGTTAAAAAAGCAAGAAAAAATACATAAGATCGGTACAATACAATTGTTATTAGAATGACCCCCCCCCCTCTCTCTCTCTCTCTCTCTCTCTCTCTCTCTCTCTATCTATCTATCTCCCTCTCTATCTATCTATCTATCTATTTATCTATCTATCTATCTATAATAGATATATCTGCCTGGGTCGGCCCTGGCAGGAATGCTTCGAAGCCTGCCGCCTAAATGATCTTAACTGTGTCGAATGGAGTATAAAGACGCCTACATTTTAAAAAATTTAAAAATCTACCATACATTATATCATAAGTGATTGGTGGAGGCGTTTGTTTGTTTTTCTCCTTCTTTCTTACCATTTGCTCCTTCTTTCTTACCAAACATATCTTCCTTATCTCTTCTCCCTCTTTTATGTGTATGTTGTTCTCAGGTAACTCCTCAACACTGCCAATCTTCGGCACGTATATTGTGACATACTTATGCTGCATGTGTGGTAAAAATCTCACTAAAGCTAAAACTAAAGCTTCGTAACAATGTAACATTTCAGTTCAAAAATTGTTGTAGCCTTGACTTCAGAGGGCCTCCTCTGCGTAATAGTACAGTAGGACCTTTGGATTGTTTGGGGGGTTTTCTGCTTTGGTTCTAATGGTTCAAGGGCGGAATTCTATTTTTAGAATGAATATTAAGGAACGCAAATTATAGAGATTAAACGTCTTTTACACTTCTACAGCGAGTTCTTGGGCGGACCGGGTTCTTACGTGGTCTGTTCTTATGCAGAGACCATTGTGTGCCTCATTTTTGACAGCACAGTTCATATACCATACACTAAAGCGTTAGTGAAGATGTCTGTCGTTTACTTCCCCAAAAGATGTTGTAGCAACACAAGACGCAACCTTAGAATTCCAAAGTTCTCATTTTTTGCCGTTTTCTGTTACAAAACCATGAGGCCAAAAACCTAATATTCTAAAGACTTTTCGGAGTCGTTATCAATATCAATGAACTGCATTAAAAAAAAAAAGCTTGACAACTTGTGAAACTCAATTCTTTAACCTCAAATTGCTCTAAACTAAGCACACAGCAGATAGAACATTGTAATTTTAGGACAACTTCTGTCACTCCCCCCCCCCCTCCCCACTGACACACACACACACACACACACACACACACACACACACACACCTGTCCTAGATTCATTCAAGGCAATTGATTATTTGTTTAGGTTTGGGTTTTTGTTTGTTTTGTTGTTGTTGTTGTTGTTGTTGTTTTTGTTGTTTGTTTTGTTGTTGTTGTTTTTTTAGGGAAGGGGTGAAGTTTTAGAATTATTATTATTCCTTTTTTAAAATATCATTTTTTTGGGTGGAAATTAAGAAATGTTTCAGTTTTTCTTGCTATTAAACACCGTCTCCGGGAAACACATTATTTTGACGCAGATCCCCTGATGGATGGCGATGTTCTGTTTCTTACACCCCAGCTTTGTTTCTCCGCGCTGTCTCAGTGTCTGGTCATTGGTTCATTCATCAAACATGGCGACACTATTAAAGACACGTATGCTCCCTGACAAGTGCTGTAGACTTGTGGACTTCGCCAGTCTTGGACACACCTTGCGCAAGTTGGTACAGACCGGGGAAACCTGAAGGGTATTTTTGAGCTTCGCTAGGTGTCTCGTAGCACTGGTGTTTCTTTTTTCCCTTACTAATCTGTGTTTATATAATATGAGTTGTTTTACAACATAATAGTACTTATAACAATGATAAAAACAGTTTTAACAACAAAACAAAAATAAGAGAATGGTAATGATAAAAATATACAATTATCATTATTATCAGTAATAATAATAATAATAATAATAATAATAATAATAATAATAATAATAATAATAATAATAATAATAATAATAATAATAATAATATTGTTGTTGTTGTTCTTGTTGTTCTTGTTTTTATTGTTATAAAAAAATGCTATTGCTATTATTGCTGTTATCGGTGGCACCATTTATTATACTGAGAGAAGACAAAACTGAAACAATAAACGCTTTAGACTTTATTAATTATTGGGGGGGGGGGGGGGGGGGGGGCTTAAATTTACTTGGGTGAGCTCTAATCTTTGACGCTAAACGAATTTATTTGTTAATGAAAACAAGTGAATCGTTTGCAGGAAGTGGTAACAAATTTGTCAAAGATGCAAAAGTTCGGGTGCTCCTCGTGGTAAGATTGCCGAACCTATAATCGTGAAACTGTGAGATCAGGGATTTGAGCCTCAGCTCGGTCCGACGTTGTGTTCTTGGGAAAGGCACTTTACCCGAATTTCTTGTTTACTTTTAATTCGGTCTTTTCAGAGATGGAAGTTAAAACTCGGAGGTCCAGCCCCTTAGACAACCTGATAGTGTTGACAGGAGAATTGAACGTAGGCCTACACCATTTGTGAGACATCATGGTGAAATCAGGCGCTCATGAAAATAATGGCAATTTTTGTCAAATGTTCGTTTTTTGGCTCAACATCTTTTACATCCATTAAAAGCACAGTTTTGTGTGGATTTTTATTGAAGGACTTTTACAAAAGACGCAAAATCTATGAATTCTCAGTTTCCAAGGACTCTCAAGATAGAAGTCACCAAACTTTGGCGGGCATATTCTCGCTAATTTTATTTCTGAAACCAGGCGACCCCCATCTCCTTCACCTTCAATCGCAGAAAATATCGCGACGTCTTCTCAAGAAAGATGGGTATTTTTTTCATCGAGAGCAAGACAAATGAACAAGCTTTAAGATTATACCAAAAACTTAACATGCCCAAAAACTGAAAAGCGCCCGATTCTGCCGCGTCGCGACACATTTTATTTTACTGGTCCACAGAGGAAGTTTCGGTGGCTGCAGTTACAAGTTACAGCTTCAGCGGTCGTTTATTGTTTAAAAGGGAGAAGGTATGGCTCTGTCCTTAAATTTCTCTCTCTCTCTCTCTCTCTCTCTCTCTCTCTCTCTCTCTCTCTCTCTCTCTCTCTCTCTCTCTCTCTCTCTCTCTATTTTCTTTCTTTTTTTATGCGTGTTTTACGATGCTCACAACTGCAAACCGTCATGTGAGCGAGCGGGACACATTAAGCTTTTTCAGTTTTGTAGGAATCAAACTTGAATTTTGCCCAGTTAGTGGCCGAAGTTTACTCGATTTAAAACCACCGAAGAATCTTTTACATGCGCAACTTGCACACAGGACTCCGAAATTTTTCTGCCTTTTTATCCGAGAATGCTAGGTGTTAGATCTTTCCTTTCCTAAGATTAGGATGTGGCTGAAAGATAGTAGTAAAAAGGAGCCAAAGAGTAGAGGTAGAAAGTCTGCAGAAAAAGCCAGGGACCCAGAGGAAGGGCCGAAAGAGAGGGGGCAGCGGGTGGAGACGAAAGCAGATGACCGAACATGATTAGACAGCAGGAAATGAGACGAAAGAATTTTTTTTTGTAGAACAAAATTTTCTGTCGCCCTCAGGTTGAGAAACCCAGGACCTATTGAACGAGAGGCGAACTCCGTACCTCTAACCCTCTTAGCACCATAAATAGACAGCAGAATCAAAATGGTGGCCCGCTGATGGCTTCCCAGAACCGAATTATTGCACTGTTTTTCAGAGGTTCGAGAAGTGTAGCAAAGAATTGCTCTTGCTTTTAATCTAAGCAACGTATTTCAACATTTCACATACAATAACCTAAGACGTCAGCTTCTAAGTTTAGAATAGAAAGTTCTTATTTCTAAGCCTGCATTATAGGCTTGGTCGGTAAAACCCGGTATTGCTCTACAGCGGGAAAGACAGTAAAAACCGGCAACATAGTTGGAAGATCGGTTTAGGCCGGTATGGCTCAAAAAGGCTAGACCATGTGAGCCCCCAAACCTCTCTTGAATGAGCATTGCTATCTCATCTGTACAGTTGTCTCAGCAAAGAACGGGTTAAAAGAAGCCCCAAGAGAATACATTGCGTCTCCATTTATCTTGTCATGAGAAGTTGTCCAACCAAAGCAAGCATTCATTTTTTGATAGAATCATGGGAGTAGCCTACATTAATTAACTGAAATATTCATTAAGGTTTTATACTAGGTAACCGCCGGAGATTTGTGATAGGATACACACAGAAGGAAGATAAAATGCTGATTAAAACTTTAGAGTAGAATAACCGAGATTCTTCCCTTGTTTTTGTTTTTTTTAATTCTCTTTGTGAATAAAAAAAAACGTGATAGCGTTTAGATCTATTTTAAATGACTTTCCTCTCTCGCCGCTATAGAATGCATCTCGTGTGTTTTTCATGTAGACCAGTGAAGAAGATGCCACAAACGGCAAAGAAATCCTGTCACAATTTTGATGAATAGGTGGGTCCAAAGAAGTAGGGCAGCGTTTCACACTTCATACGAGGACGTAAGATAGGTCATTACCTGAGTGTTGTTAGATTTAAAAGACATTTGGAGATGATGTAAAAGAATGAGCATGTTTATGATGGGAGAAGTGAGGAGAAGAAAAGAAGATAGGGAGAGAGAGAGAGAGGGGGGGGGGAGGGGGAGAAGGGAGGTAGGTGGAAGGAGCTGGTAAGAGACAGGAAGCGAGAAGCAGACAAAGAGTGACATGAGAGAGTTGGAAACAAACAGATACAGACAGATAGACAGATATGACAGACAGATTAAGTGACAAAGGGATAACGGGGGAGAGCAAAAGCTTAAGAGGTGGTAAAATGTAACACAAAATCAGCAAACGAGGATAACGCTGCCAGCTTGTATATAAATAAATGAAGTTCCCTGTCAATGTCACCAGAGCCCAAAAAGACAACTCTCCTTCCCTCAACAATGTCGCTGTTTACGTTTGGAACAATACTGACGGCGGCCATCCTGACCTCTGTTCCAGCGGTAAACGCCTTCTTCGGTAGGTATCCATCTAATCCTTTCTCTGTATCGATGTTTTATCGCTTCCGTTGTTGTGCTCACGGGGTGTCCGTCCTCACACTGCTCACAACGCTGTCTCTGCTGTGAAATCTGTTTGTTTACATATTTATTTGTAAGGTGAACTTAGTCCCTTAAAAACACACTGTCTGAAATAAAAAAAATTATCATGATGATGATAATGGTGATGATGATAATGATAATGATAATGATGATGATAATGATGAAGATTATTATGATAATGGTGAGGAGGAGGAGGACGTCGAGGATGCGGAGTAGGATGCGGAGGAGGAGAAGGAAGATGGTTTATGGTTTCATCATTGAGTAGAATTATTTTTTTAACTTTCAATTTTTCTTTGAACCATAGGTTTCTTTTTCGGGAGCAAATTCTGTGGAAGCTGTGGGCATTACTGTAGACACCAGAGCGGAATGTGAAAGGCAAAGGGTGATTTGAAGGCAGCAGAAGATAATATCTGAAAATCTGGATTTCAGGTAGAAGACTGTCTCAGTTGTTGTTTTTTAAATTACGATGAGAACTAAAAAACAAATGAAAGAGATGGGCTTCCCTGGATCAGATTAATGTAAATTTGAAACTTTCGTCTGAGTTCTTGTCCTCCGAGAAGAATTCCTTGATTGTCTAAAAGTTTTTGTGTAGAGCTATACTGTCGTCCATGGACCGGATTTACACAAATGGGAAATCTACGAAGGGGAACGATCATCACCATTTTCATCATCATCATCAGCAGAAGCAGCAGCACTATAGAAACATGCTGGCTCTCTATGCTTCAGCTCAGTCCTTCTTTCGCCGCGATATAGATCATTCTGTTTTTTTAGGCACATTTTAGAGGAGCCGCCAACCCCCCACCCTCACCCCAAATACACACAAACACACAAACAAAACGAACGAATTCGAACCCCGCAAACCCACTGTATAGTCATTATCTTTCGAAATGAGCCTGTGACATACTCGCCCCGTTTCTCTGATTACACAATGTTAAGATTTGCTTTTTTCCCCACAGGAAAGTCGCTGAACGCAGTGACCTACAAGTGAGTTGCTCGGCTGATTGGCGCCTCGGTTTAGAACTTCCTTGGTGGTCTGAGTCAATCAGGTTACACAAAGCTAATCATTTGACTATATTTTTATGTCATAAATCTGCATATTTACCAGTAGCATGTTGCGTAACTGAAATCTTTCGAAAACCCTGTTGGGAGTTTAAATTAAAAGCATCCCCTTCCTCACACTCTGATAACATTTCCAAGAGGGCATAACAACTGAAATTATGGAAGAAAGTCATATCTTAATCATTAATAAATGTGAAATGAAAACATGGCCTATTGTACAATAGTGGCATAAACACACCGCATGAAAACCCTTTCGTGCAAGACTTCGAGATGTGGATGTCTTTCCAAATATCAGATACACCAAAGAAATACCCATAAACAGCAAGTTGGCACTAACCTAACTGGACTCAGCAGACTTCGTCTTCAGAAGAGTTCACCAACAGTGGAGGGGGAAAAGTTTAAGAAATTATTTCGTGCAAAATGTCACGACAACCCAAATGTAGCCCCACAAAAGAGATTATTAGATATAAAGTATTATATATATAGTATATTATAGTATTAGTTGTAGCTCGTGGCAATGGCGTCACCCACGTAAGCTAACCGGGCTGTGTGCCGGCCATGAGATGTTGAGCGTTGAGGGCAAGGACAATTGACTGGTGAGTACTTTTCAAGGCTAACGTCATGGAAACTACAAGCTTGGGACGAAATCTACAAACTTGCACTGAAATGTGTAGGCAAGGTGGTGTTTGATATACAAGAGCTCGTTGAGAGTGGGGGGGGGGGGGGCTCAGATTGTTCTTGTACCTGAGGGCACGCCGTCCTGCCGTTGAGGGCAAGATGACCCTCCCATGTCTGACACGAGTGACATCCCCTCTAGGAACTCTAGTAGTATAAATAATCTCCTTGATCCCCACAGAGAGTGGAGACCCCGGAATATTTGTTATGTCAGAGCAAACATAACGTGGCGCGCTCGACGGAGGTTTGTCCTTCAGTTACCTCATCCGAGCACGAAGGGCTTATAATATATAATATATAGTGCTGTCGCGCCCGATTTCTGTCCACTATTCTGGAGTGTTACAAGTTGTACATCTACTGTTTATACGGACAAGGCAAAGTGTGACCCCCAGACGGCTCGCGGCCGATGGTACCTTGTACGACTGGTTGCTATAAATACACACAACGATCAAACTGAACACGAACCAGATCACACAAGCGCACAAACAAAATTGTCCACATAGCGGAAAACCCACCACCAAGCTGAACTTTGTACTGTAATCAATTGTGGCTGATAAGCAAAGCCGAGTTGTTGTTTTTTTAAACGAGCTCTTTCCTTCAAAAAAGAAAAGAAGAGAAATGTAAATTACACTGTGTTTGAAATAATGTTATGGTTGAATAGATAAACCTACGTTTTTGCCAATACGAGAGACGGAAAGAAGGGAAAGGAGAATGAGGTTGACGAAAAGACACAGAGATGATCACTGGCTACACATACACAAAATGCAGTCATAATGCAATCGCTAAGAAAGAAAAAAAACATTTAAAAAATCTTCTTCAAGATTAAGTATTACGAGTAACTCGCAAAACATATAATTCATACGCTGATTTCGAACTTGATAGTATTGTTGGTATAATTTGCTATTGTATAAAAGTATTTTATCGAGGGCAAGCTTCAGATAGACCAGACGAAAGAAAAATCAGACACAACCTAGTTTTCACAGTGAGCGGACAGACAGAAGAACTGACTGATGATTTCAACTAAGTTCCTGATTACGAGATGAGGATGGACAAAGGGCCAGAGGAAGTCCAAAATACTGTCCGTTTCAACTGTACGCGTAACACCCCCATTAGAGGGCTTGTCGTTCTCTAAGACCCCGCACACACTTATATAAAATCAACTCGTCGCACGGTTGGGAAGGATGACGCCACTTCGCTCCCTCAGAATAACAAAGTTCTATCTGACATTTTTTGTCGTTTTGAGTTACTAAGACCATGAGGGTAGAAACCAATGTATGTTCTACCTGTTCTGTCAAAATCGAAAGAATATTCGGAGTCGTTATGAAGATATTCACAGAAATGCCGTTGAAAAAGCTTATCGACATATGGTTAAACTCAAAATTTTTTACGTCAATTTTTCATAAGTAGATACTGAGCAGATAGAACTTTACACTTCTAATTGGTGGCGATTTGGCGATGAAGAAAGATGAACAGGAGGAAATTGCCTCATAGCCTATGTATACTAGCAGCCGTGCTACGAGTGGAAACTTTTCGAGTGGGTTCGGGGCCTGAAGCATACGTTTTAAGTGTTATATATAACTTAATCCTGATATGACCTCAGTATCTGTTGCATAAACGACGAAGGTATGGGCAGTCTAGGGGGTCGGGGTCGAGGTTTTTTCTTTTTTTTTTTTCTTTTTCATTTTCTTTTTCTTTTTCTTTTTTTTTTCTTTCTTTTTCTTTTTTTATGAGAAGACCTGATTGGTGTTGAGCCCTGTGTGCCCTGTTACCTGTAACTATTTACGTTGCATTCTGTCGTTGTATCACACTATATGTCCTATGCCAATTCCTTTCAGCAACATAAATCAAAACAAAACTACACAAGTATCAGAAGATAATCAAATAATGTCCGTCACCATTTTTTAAAGTTTTCACTGGGATTTCCAAATTTTTCATACATTTTTATATTAACATTTCTTTTTATCGAACTTACTCTCCCCATTCTTTTCTTTTTCATTTCTTGCCCTGTCATCTGTAAGGAAAAATGTTTTACATACTTGTTATCATCTGTGTAAACAGCGGTACTCCAGAAAAGGAATAAAACCCAAATATAACTGTACAATCCCCTAATCGTCCCCCCCCCCCCAATTTTCCATGTGGGAAAAAACTTCACCTTTCCAATACGTTTGTTTTCAATACTGTTGATTGTGCTCCTGATTTATGCCGATTAAATCATAGGTATTTTCTAAACTATCAAAAGGGTTCACACTAGTACAGAAAATGAGAAACAGATTGTCATTTTATTTAAGTTATACCAATTATAAGCTATACACAGGCTAATATAATGTATTCCCTGTTTTTGTTATTGTGGTTTTGGTTGTTGTTGTTGTTGCTATTGTTGTTGTTGTTGTTGTTATTGTCGTTGTTGCTGTTGTTGTTGTTGTTGTTGTTGTTGCTATTGTTGTTGTTGCTGTTGTTGTCGTCGTTGTTGTTGTTGTTGGTTCAGCATGCCGTGGCCAGTGGCGCTTCAGGGCCCGATTGCTCCCAACACGGCGTTACGTACAGCCGAGCAAGTCCACGCTGGCAAGTTGACTGGGCCTGCTTCTATTGTCAACGTTGGAGGTATGTACTGGGCTTTGGACTTGTCCAGCGGTTTGATTAATGAGAGTGTGAAAGAGAGAGAGAGGGGGGGGGAGAAGGGGAGAGAGAGAGAGAGAGAGAGAGAGAGAGAGAGAGAGAGACCGGTCTACAAAGCTGGGCTACTTAATGGCTATTGTTAAGCCTACATTACATGACCATTCTGTCAAGGCTCTAATTACTCTGCCATGGAATGACAGACCGTTTCTTTTTCTGGCTTTTACATGTTCATAGTAAAACAATAGGACTTACTTTATCAAACGTACTTACGCTTGGTTCAGTTAAGTAATGATATTCAATGAAGTTTTGAAAAAAAAAGTTAGTCTTTTATCTTCGTCAACATAAATCTATTCAACATTTTTTCCATCTTTTTCCTTATTCTTTTATTCTTTGTTTGCTTTACTCTCGACTTCCCTTCATCAAGAACTCTCATACTTTTTCAATTTCTTCTTCAAGCTTCAATAATTCAAAATTGTGTAACTTAAATTTGCTGCACGTACGTACCCGGGCGGTGCCGCGGCCCCTTTGAAGCTTGCATCGGCTCATTCTACGAAAAAAGGTTAACAACTCTTTGTGGCGAAAAAGCTAAATGCAGAAAAAAGCCTCTGTAAAGAATCGGTTTAACATCTAGATTAATGATTTCAACCAAAAGGGATTAATTTTACAGTATCATGCTTGAGACTAGATTTCTCAGAAAGTGGGTGATTTCATTCAGAAAAAGAACACAAACGCCTAGTTTTCCAAAAACTTAAAGAAAATAAAAATGCTTTTCACGAGATACAAAGTTTAGCTAACCTCACTAAACAGTTTTTCGTTTCAAAAGATAAAGAAGAAAAATTCTTTCCATGTACATTACATTTCCTGAGAGTAAATGTTCAGAGCGATGTAGAAGCAGCAAATTTTCTCTTTGCTTTATTTTAAGAAAAGATATTGTACAATGAAAGCATTTCTTGACTAGTCCCAAAATATTATAATCTGTCAAGAAATTATTCTTATACAAAAGAGGGCATTTTAACCACAATATCCCAATATGAAGTCCAGTATTTTCTTCC